ACCAGACAAGAAATGCAGCTGCTGAACCAAAGGTCTCACCACAGCTGACAGCCTCACTCCCCATGAGGAGACAAGGACTCTCAACATTTGCATGGTTACTACGGGTTTGTAACTGGTGAGGAAACGTCATCATCTCCCATGTAACTAGTAGAGAATCTGATCAAGCACTTTTGGGACTAAGTCTGAAGAATGCTGATGCTGAAGCAAACTTTCTGCTAACACAAAACCACGCCGTGATGCTGACGTTGGAGGTCAGCAAATTGAGCTGGACCACATGCGAGTGACGGCGCCTCACACCATCCCACTGACACCTGACGATCACGCCCAAGCAACACGCACCAAAAGAGCCACCCGCGTCTTACGGAAATTGTCCCAGTCATCACTGAAATCACCTCCTCTCTAAAGCCTACATGGGGAAGAGGTAAGGCAGAGAAATAAAAAGCCTCAAAGACATGATATTAAAGGAATATTTATAGGTAAGAGCCCCATCTCACAGTGATGCACACCTAGACAAGTACAATGAGCAGACATGCCTGCTTTATGTACATAGCCGTTTGTGATAAATACACCGTACAGAGTTTTTTCTTTGTCACAAAAATCCTCTAAGTTCATATAAAAGTTAGATATAATTTTATATATGGCAACAGTAATCGTGTTCATCTTTCCACCCTGTAATTCCATACTAAACACACTGAGCAGTTTGACTAAACAGCCTCAAACACTTCCTTAAAATTTTGCAGGAACCCTACAAAACGCAGGGATAAAAACAGCAGAAGAATTAATCTGAGTTTTTCTCAACTTAAAAAATATAATTAGTTGACTCTACCAATACAAATTAAAATCTTATGATGACACAAACATCTGCACCTTTCAAATGCCCAAGTATAGAAGTCTTTCCTATTTGCTATAAATTCTGCTTATACATACCTGAATTTTCTTCGAGACACATATTTCTTTCCTACTCAATTATTTTTCACACAAGCTAATCATAACATCTTCACAGTATCCATACAGTATAATTATAAAACAGTTTGACATTGTTTGGACACACAAGTATACCAGATCAGTGTTAGATAAAATTCACTGCATATTCCTGGAATAACTTGGTTTTAAAAAAACGTTAAAGAAAAAAAATTAATATCAAATGAAGAAAGCCAAGTCTTGGGCATCATACCGTAACTCTTGAACAGTTCAGCTTGCTTCAAGGGCAGTTCAACTGTTTCTCTAATCGTTTTGAGCTGGCTGCTTAAACCTCCTATCATATCATAGGTAACTCGGGATTCACAATCACCATCTTCAGCTACACTGGTCCTTGTTTCAATAAAATTGATTCTAGTTCTTGAAGAAATGAAATAGAAAGCGTCTGTGTTGCTTATTGCTCCAGTTTTGCCAGTTAGGGGGACTCCCTCACTGCCTCCTTTCCCAGCCAACTCCAAATCGTCAGTGAGGTCTGCACCATCTCCCTTGCTGTAGGTTTTATCTCCCTGACCAGAGTCTTGACCACTGGCTGCCACAGGAAAACTGGGTGTAACTGGTGAACCTGGATCCATCGGTTTGCTTGGTGTGCTCGTAGATGCAACCTCTGGACTATCATCAATGTCCATCTTGCCGAGCTGTACGGACAAATCTAACGTACTCGTCTCCAAATCGGATCTTTCAAGGTCTGGCTCATGCATATCACTGGAAATAGCACTGCCCTGGGCAGTCAGCTCTGCACCATCAGTTCCTTTCACTTTCATCACCACGATGTTACAAAGTTTGCCATAGGAAGTGAAAGCCAAGAGGTTTCCCGGTAAAACTATTTTTCCATCTATGAGAAGATTAAAAAAGAAAAAAAAAAAAAAAAAAAGACAAATAAGAAGAAATTTCAATCTTCTTTGGCAGCAATAACACTCAGACAGTCTTGTATCAGAATAATTCTTTATCAGGAAGCCTAAAGAGTGCTATAAATTAAGATAACAAAAGGTAGTTAGGTAATTTCAGGTAATTTAAATGATCCTTTTGTACACCAGCAGACTACTGGATGAACATTCGTCTGCATCATATGTAATCTCTCATATTAAGCTCATCATTAATTTGAGCTTTTTAAATTTCATACAGCATGCAAAAGGAGACTATGGAATTAGTACTTTAAGAAGTAAAAATTTTGTATTTGCTATATGCCTTATAGGTTCACAATATTTCATGTTTAGCCCACCTTCTTTGAGAGTCTTGGCCTAAAAAAGGTAAGGTTTTAGCCTTTGCACTGACAGAGAAAGATTAGGCAATGTGATCTGAATGCACCCTACAGGCACAAAAAAAACCAAAGGCAAAAATATAAACAAGATTTATTATTTCCAGCCAAACTCATGAATTTGGAATGCAGTTCATGTTTCCTGCTTCTTAGCATAGCAATCCTGTCATCAATTCCTAAACCAGAAGATTCCCTTTGAGCAGGACTAGCGAGTGCTTGGAGTAGCACTACCTTGAGTAACTTACCTTGCTTTTTTGACTTACTTATACATATCTGCCACCCAACGAAGAGCAATTTTGCTTATTTACCACCAATTAAAAAAAAAAAAAGATTCAGAGTATGGGAATTCATGTTAATACTGATCCCTTATCTTGTTTTTAATGTGTAGTATTGCACTTCTTTCTTCACAGTGCAAGTAAACTCTGAAGTGCATCACAGTATCAGCCAGAAGGCCAGCAATGACTGCTAAACAACCGTAACTTGAACCAGCAATATGTATGATGGACAGAAGGAATGGAATCACAACTCATGCAAATTAGATATTTACAGCATGGCAAAATTATTTAGCCCAAAGATGACAGATCCCTAAAAGAAGCGAGCAGAATAACATCCTCCATTTTGCCATAAGCCCTGATTAAGAACATAAGAGAAAACCGTGTGCTTTTCTATCCAAAACTCGACAACGTACAACAAAAATTAAACAGTCAGAAGAGAAGCAACAAAACTTATACCTAGGTTTCTCAGTAGACAGACAGACATTTCCTCGGCATTAATGGTGGCATCTTTGTCCCTGTGGTAGGAAGAAAAAAAAAAAAAATATATATTTTTCCAAGCAGTAACTACTTCAAAACCAAAACAGAGCACACACCACTAAGGCACCAGGATGATGAATACCACCTATTTTACAGTATATGATTTAACCCCACAAACAGAAACGAAGGATGAGAACTTTACAGTCTTCAGATCATATCTTAACTCTAAAAGATATCAGACACATGGTAACAAAAGAAGCATACATATTTAATTTTGGGTTAGTTTTTCCACAGAAAATGCTGTAATAAACAATACCCTAAGTTATATTTATCATTTCTTAAGATTACAAATATGGAATGCCTGCTTCTCATCTCACCAGGCAGAATGGCTGTTGCGACATTTACTGAATTGAAAAAGTTACAGATAAGGTAGGTCTCTCTCAGCCCTGCGAACACACATACACATCTTTTATTCATTCAAGTAGCACCCTGGGCACTTGCAAAACTGTGCATGTCTAAAGCACTGCACATCCGCTATCAAAACAGTACAAGTTTTCCCCACCATGCATTGTCTAGTCTTTTATTTAATCAAGTTCAAGTGGCTCAACAGATAAGCCTTAAGCCTCTTTCCCCACCAGCCCTGGCCAGGCCTACAGCACCTTCTCAAACACCATCTCACCACTGGGACTTAACACACGACTGAACACGCGTGCTCTTAGCCCAAAGCAAATGAGAGGCAAAAGGTGTCTTATGTGAATGTCTTTCTCTGGTGTTCACTTTACATCACATTTACAACTCGCCGAGAGCACAGACATCGTTAACTCTCCCTGATCCTTGGACACACTGCAACGTATAAGGCTGTGGCGATTCAATCATTTTTCATTGACAGTTTATCTGTACAAGCTTTTTCCTGTTTCATTTGCGGCTTTACTTTTTATTAAAGCCCATTAAACCACTTTTTTGATTCCTTAGGAATTACCCCCCTCAGCCAATCTGTATGAGCCTCACACATTAGCCCTTCTGTTTTCACAACAAAATAAAGGTTTCACTACATCCACCTGGCAGACAAATGCCCACAAGCTTTGCAAGCACTTATACCTGTATGACGAAAAGCATTACACCAAGAGCTGAACAGCAGCAGCACCAAAGGCATTTAAGGCAGATACAGCTGCTGCAAATAAAAGTGTGATCAACGGGGGGAGCTCTAAACCTGGAAATAAAAACCTGTTTCTCAATCCTACTGATCAAGAAAGCAACTTGAGTGAAAGAGGAGTACTCCGCTAATTTAGAGGAGAGCTCTCAAAATACCATAGCCATTCCTAACAAGTAAACACATACTCAATTATGTTGTTGGGGTCTGAGGTTGGGCATTGACTTTTTAACTGGAAGAAAAAGCTAAATTATGCATGCAAGCAACTCCCCAGAGGTATTAATTTGCAGAGAATGAGCTACACCTGTAAAGTGTCTAGAAACCTAGGCAGTACTCGAATAATGGGATTTCCATTTATTCTTTTAGTAATTTCTATTCTTACATGATAGGATGGCACTATGGTTTGTAGTAAATTAACAGGCTTAAAACAGACCAACTGCAGTTTTCATGTTTTCTCTCCTAGAGTAATTCTAGAAAAGCAGTCATTTATATGACTTTTAACATGTTGGTACATATGTATAACAATCCTCAGAGCCTGACTATTGACTGGGTGAGAGGGAAAACTCTGGCTGTGGAACAGTTTCCAAAAAAATTACTGTAATCATAAATATTTCAGAAGTTACATGCAATTCCTCTGACCTCATCCTCAGCTTATTATTTCAGTAGAAGTCACAGCTTTAAAGAAAGAATGCATTGCATATTAATATGGGGAAATATAAATAGATTAGGTTTAATTATTTAATTTAACATAGAGTTGTTTTTTTAATGAAATGAGTGTTTTCAACCACCTCTATAACCAAACATTATATAATAATAATAATAACAAAACTTCCTATAGGATTAAATAACAAAAAGCCGTAAAGATTTTTTTTTTTTTTCGTTTTCTGGTGAGAAAAGAGGCATGGAGGGCAAAGCAAGTTGATGCCAGGAAGTCAGCACACAATGCGCAGCCAAGTTAGCCACTAAAACTATAATTACAGCTAAACTGGTTATATTACTGAAAAAAGGCAAAATTGCTTTACCAACACTTCTGAGAGTCAGTATGCTGGAAAACAGCATCTCTCCCTTAAAATGGACAATGACAACGCCATGTTTGAAAACAGAGTTTTGACAGGGAAGTGAAGTTAATTTATAGAAATTAAAGTGTTGGGACACTTTCAAAAGTAACTGTAAAATAACTTTATTTAGGAAATAGCTATAATCAGATTCTGTATCAACCCAAATACTGACTCTGTGGAATTTTATGAGAATGACAAATATAGGAAGTCATTCAGCAGATCAGTAAATTGCTAATTTCTCAAAGCCTTCACGATTTCAAGACAACTGCGATTTGCACCTTTTGCTCCCTTTTCTGGGTGAATTTCAATTTAAAAAAAAAAAAAAAAAACCCAAACAAACCCAAACTCATCTCTAAGTTTCCAATCCTAAAAAATATTCCAGTAAATAAAAGCGGAGCACAAAACCACACATACACAAAGGTGAAGTTTTGAAGTTCAGCAGTGGTT